TGGTTAAAGAACTCCAAAGGTTAACAGGATTAGACTCCCACGATCAAGTTCAAAGAAATGCTTCAGAAGTAAGCAAACAAACAAAATTAATCACCCTCTAACAACAGATCTTCTGGAATCAAGGGTGATGACTTCAAAAGCAATTAACTTTTTTTTTTTTGAGACAGAATCTCACTCTGTCACCCAGGCTGGAGTGCAGTGGTGCGACTGCACCCTCTGCCTCTGAAGTTCAAGCGATTCTCCTGCCTCAGCCTCCTGAGTAGCTGGGATTACAGGCAGCAGTCATCACACCCAGCTAATTTTTGTTTTATCTTTAGTAGAGACAGAATTTCGCCATGTTGGTCAGGCTGATAATTCTTAAAGGTCTCTGTTGCATTAGCCGTGAACTCAAAACTTAAAAAAAAAAAAAAAAAAAAAAAGAAACTTTTAGTGTTAGAAAATGATATTTGGGGATAAATTTTGCTTAGCAATTCACTATTTTCCAATTACAAGAACGTGCTTAGAAATCAACATTAAGATAACATTTTTTTTTCTGATTATAAAAATAATATATACTGCTTATAGAGAGTTTGGAAAACACAGTATAAAGAAGAAAACTTTTTCATAATTCTGCAACCTGAAGATGCATATCTACTAGAAAACAATTAAGATCTGACTGTAAAGAATTCACTGGGTTTTGCTTTTAGCCTTGACCTTGAATTTAGTGCACGATCACCACGTCCCAATATGACTTTTAATGGTTGCTCAGTATTGTTATGTGGATTTGCCATAATTTGCTTAAATCTCTTATTGTTGAACGTTTATATTGTTCTTAATTTTTTGCTTGTAAATAACCCTGAACTTACTGTGGCAGATACACCCTGTGCATCTTAGGTTAATCCCTAGGAAGGGGATTGCTGGGTGGGCAGCCGTTTTGATTGTGAACATCAGATACTCTACTAGTCACCTTGAGGCCAGTAAGATTTATCCTAATGATTCTTGACCTGGGAGGCGCCTGGAATCAGGGCGCTCAGGGACTACAGCCCTGTTCCTGGCCCAGAGTCAACCTTCCAGGATTGGCTTGGCGAAAGCAGGGCGGGGCCGAGTAGGAGGACGGAGCGTGGACACTGCGGCAGGGCCACCCGGTGCAGGGAGGGATGGTGGGGTGCACTGTGACCCTCACAAATCCAAAGACCCGGCGGCCAAGACCAGGCGCTCCTGGAGAGCTGAGATTCTTGGCGCTGGCTGGGCTGCTGGAGACAGCAGGTACCCCGTTCCTTCGGGAAGGTGGGGGACCTAGGTCCTTGTCTCTCTCTACCCCATCAAACCCTGGCGCGACGGGAGAGCGTAGCGAGAGCCCAGGCAGGTCGTGGGGCTGGACCAGGTTCTCCGTCAAGATCCAGGACCCCCAGAACCTGCGGTCCATTGCCAGGATTCCCTGCGCGGAGCTTGCGGACGCCGACCCGGGCAGAGCATTTGTTGACACAGCGCGCCCTCTAGTGGTCATTTTCCTGTGACCCTCCCAACAGGCACAGACGATGCTCTTGGTTCAGCCTCCAGCCCCCCAGGTCTGGGAAGTCTGTAGATCCGCATTCTCCTGGGACCCAGGAGGCAAGGGTTGAGGGTGGGTTAGGGGTTGGGAGGGCGTCTAGTCCCAACTCTGTCTCTAACTTGCCTGTGTGGCTCTGGCCACATCTGAACCCCGGCTGGGTCTCACCTTGGCCATCTGTGAAATGAGGAAGGTCATGCTGGCTTCACAGGTTTCGCTTGGGGAAGAGCAAGGGCTCTGAGCCTCTGCTCGCCTTGCCCATTTTCACTAGGCTTGGGACCCCGGGTTGGCTGGAGCAGGCGTGTGCAGTGTGATCAGAAGATTCCAGGAGGCACTGGGTTTGTGCCCTACGTTGGGGTACAGTAAAATGCACAAATTCAGAGGCAGGCTCTCCGCCGCTGTGAGGATCACTCTTCCTACCTTAGGGTAAACAGGTGCCAAGCAGAGGAGGTGACCAGTGTGGCCAGGAGCTCAGAGCGAGGCCCCTTTGAAGGTTGGAGGGACACAGATTATCTTATCTGGAGGTGTCTTGGGGACAGGGAGGCTTCTTGGAGAAGGAAGTAGTGGACAGATTTCATGGGCTCCAGGGACTGAACAACTGTGAGTTCAGGCAGCAGCTACTTCAGATAGGTGGGAAGACAGCTCAGAAACCAGCTGGAAGGGGTGGCAATGGCAGAAATGGCTGAGTAAGGAGCACTTCTCCCCGAGAAAAGCAATGAGAATACTGGCCAAAATTGTCAAAACCAACTTTTTCAGAACTCTGGAAATTAATAAAAAACTTGCAGCTGGGTGTGGTGGCTCAGGTCTGTAATCCCAGCACTTTGGGAGGCTGAGGCGGGCAAATCACGAGGTCAGGAGTTCGAGACCAGCCTGGCTAATATGGTGACACTCTGTCTCTGCTAAAAATACAAAAATTAGCCGGATGTGGTGGCGCGTGCCTGTAGTCTCAGCTACTTGGGAGGCTGAGGCAGGAGAATTGCTTGAACTTTGGAGGCGGAGGTTGCAGTGAGCCATGATTGCACTCTAGCCTGGGTGACAGAGACTCCGTCTCAAAAACAGCAGCAACAACAACAAAAACCAAAACCAACCAACCAAACAAACAAACAAAAAACAAAAAAACTTGCAACAATCCAGGGAGTACTATTGTTTTTTTTTTTTTTTTTTTTTTTTTTTTAAACAGTGACATATTGGTAAGAACAGTGAGGTGCTTTTTTTTTCTTTTCAAATAGAGACATGGTCTCATTATGTTGCCCAGATTGGTCTCAAACTCCTAGACTCAAGCAATCCTCCCTCCTTGCCCCCTCAAAGTGTTGGGATTACAGGTATGAGCCACCACACCTGGCAGAGCTTGATGGTATTTTAACTTGTCCTCTTTCTCCCAAGACTTGTGGTAGCCTTGAAACCCAGTGGTTTCATAATCATGGTGAATACCAGCAGCCGAGAGACAAACAGAAAGACCAGAACAAGGTTGGAGCTTCTGCAAAGTCCAATTCCCAGACAACTGTCAGTATTCAACTTGTCTGGTAGTTAGTTCCCTGGAAGAGACTCCACTTGCAAGGCTGTGTTCATTTGACTTGACTTGGTGCACTCAATGCATACAGCCTTTTCTCTGGGGGCATTTGTTGAAAGTAATCAGTGGCAATTGTTTAACATTGCAGCTGCCTGAGGCAGTGATAATGGCTGGGGCAAATAAGAAGCTAACAAAACTTTTAAAAGGAAAAGTTGAGGAATGAGCTGTCCATAGCAGTCTTTGAAAAGCTTTGGCACATTCTTAGGAATCTACAAACATCCCCTCTTCTGTAGGTTCTCTGATGGTGATGGTGGTGGTGGTGGTGTGTGTGTATGTGTATTTGTGTGTGCATGTGCATGCTTGTATGCATGTTTGTATGTGTGTACATGTGCTCTCTCAGCTCTAGAAATGGAAGAATCTCAAAGGTTTTTTTTCTCTTTTTTTGAGACAGGGTCTCACTGTGTTACCCAGGCTGGAGTGTAGTAGTGTGTTCAGAACTCACTGAAGCCTTGACCTCCCAGGCTCAAGTGATCCTCCAGTCTCAGCCTCCCAAGTAGTTGGGACCACAGGTGCCTGCCACCATGCCTGGCTAATTAATTTTTTTTTTTTTTTGGTAGAGATAGGGTCTCCCTATGTTGCTCAGCCTGAAGATTTTTCTTTATTTAGGTATAAAAAAATACAGTACTTGTCATACACCAGTGTGGCCAATATATAGTCATCATCTGCAGAGCAATTACTACAATTATAGAAAATAGAAAGTTATAGGAATTGTTTTCCCAACTAAAAAACCTGAATTAATATTGTTAACCTAAATAGCAATCTGCTTATTATGCAAAAACCCTTATTCTATATGTCTGTGAAAGCTAGACACTTGTAAGTATCATTAGTAAAAAATCATTATGAGAAACTAGTTATTGGTTAAAACAAAAAAGTCAGTGTTATCTACAATCCCTCACAGTGTGAGGGGCTTGCCCAGAGTGGGAACCTCGGTCATGACAAGGGCGAGCTGGGCGTCTCCTTCCTGCTCCTCTCTGTTGACTGATGAAACTTCTCCAAGGCATGTTTGCAGTGAATGTTCCAGTGGGAGATGCATGGAGGACCCACAGAGGTTGAGCAGGGCAGGGCCTTGCCTTCTGCAAGGTGTGCCTGAGGGTCAGTTCCCTGAGATGTGACAACAGCGAGGTGTAAAGGCACTTGGCTCGGCTCTTGTCATGCAGTCATGAGTGGGTTTGGACATTGGTGAGTCTGGCTGAAGGCCCCATCTTGGGTGCCTCTAAGCCAAGAGACAAGGGGTAGACAGAAAAGAAAGAGAGCATGGATTGGCAACCAGGTGAGGCAGAGAAGGGGAGAGGTCTTCCGCTCCTAGAACATCTGTCCCCTCTCAGGCAAAACTGGAGGGGTGCTGAGGAGTCTCAGAGCAGGGTCTCAGCTCTTCCAGGCTCTCTCGGGTGGGGGGGTGTGGGGGTGGCCCTCACCCTATGATCTGTCACTCTAGATCTCCACCACCCCTCCAGGATGAATTCACAGTTAGTTGCTTCAAAGTTCAACAAGCCATTTCCCTGAATGTGGTTGAATGGTTCAGTGTTCAGTACAGCACAGTTACTGGCATGGCGGGCCAGTGAGGTCACCTCAGGACCCAAGGTCAGGAGCTGCCGTGGGGCTCCTTCCTCCCTCTTGAAAGGCCTGGAGAGGGGCTGGGGAGTGGTGGGGCACTTGGCGTGGAGTATGAGGGAGTTGGAGCAGGGCTGGGGCTCCTGAGAGAGGACCTGATGGACGGTCACAGTCAACCTTGGGAATGGGCTGCAGAGAATCTGGCCCCACAAGTGGAGCCGTCCAGGCCTTTGCCTCCAGGCAGATAGGCACCAGGACCTCACCAGCCTCACCAGGGAGTTCAGGGACCCCCAGCAGTCAAACACAGGCTGCTTTGATTTGCCAGAGGAAGTCTTTGAGTTAGATGGTGATCTGTGGGTGACAGGGTTATGTGGATGGCTGAGCCCAGACAGAACACCAGCCTGGAATTGCCAGCATTTGAGAATAGCCATCACTGACATATGTTCCCAGATTGTTCAGGGACCTAGAGTTTTCTATCCCATGGCTGATGAGGTCTCTGGGACCCACGAGGAAAGGGGGCTGGGCTGAGGAGTCAGTGCCATTTTTGCAGGCTGTGGTGCCTGGCTCTGGGCCTCCAGGCCCAGAGTGGCCTCTGCCGCCTAATACAGCAGTTCCTCCCGGGGATCCGAGCCGTACAGCTCGGCCAGCATCTTGAACCTGGGTCCCCAGTCGTTAAGGAAGTCGTAATCCACGTCGGAGTCGGAGGAGTCGGTGCCCAGGGAGCTGAGGGACTCGGCGATGGACTCGGAGCCCTCGTAGCCGTAGATGTGCAGCGTGTCATAGGGGGGACCGTCGCCGTCGTGGTCCGCCTCGTCCTTCTTCACCTCGATCATGGCTGCCATTTCCCCAGGCCCTCCGTGTGCCCCGGGCACGTGGCGCGGCGGCTTCTGCACCTGGGCGTAGAGGGGCGGCCGGACGTCCAGCGCGGTCCGCGGGGGCTTGGCCCCGTCGTGGCGCACCGAGTTTAGCACTGACACGTCGTAGCTGGTGGTGTCCATCTCGCCGCCGCCCTCCTCGTCGTAGGCGACCAGCTGCTCGTGGATCTCCGCCACGCTCTTGCCGTGCGCGCGGGCCTGCTTCCGGAGCCGCCGCCGCAGGAAGATGAGCAGGGTGATCACTGCGGCCAGGGTCGGAGTGGCAGAGTCAGACGAGGCTGGGGGCCCGGGTGGTCCCCACACCCCATCCCCACCGCCCCAACACCCCATTCTCACCGCCCCTGCACCCCCATTCCCACCCCCAACACCCCATCCCCAGGGCCCCCACCCCATCCTCACCAACCCCACATCCCCATCCCCACCGCCCCTCCGCACCCCATCCCTGCCACCCCTGACACCCATTTTCATAGCCCCTGTACCCCCATTCCCACCCCCAACATCCCATCCCCACTGCCCCAGTACCCCATCCCTGCCACCCCCTACACTCCCATTCCTGCTGCTCCCTGACACCCTATACCCCTCACTCCCTGCTTTCCCATCCCACCACCCCCTCATCCCATCCTGCCACCCCCTCATCCTATCCAGCTGCCCCCCACAACCCCATCCCTGCCGGCTTCCCTATACCCCATCCCTGCCGCCCCCCTCCCCCTATTCCCACCCCATGGCCCCCTTCCCCTGCACCCCCATTCCTGCCATCCCTGAAACTCCATTTCCACCTCCCCACCCCCTATCCCAACTGGGTTCCCACTCCCATTCCCACTGTCCCCGACACCCCCATGCTGCTGCTGCCCCCTGAACCCCTCATGCCCACTACCCCCTCTCACTTCCCACCCTCATCCATGCTGCCCCTGGCATCCCTCTCCCCACCGCCTCCCTCCTTTCCCTCCTCCCTGGAAGTTCCTGGGCCAGCCCAGTCTCCCAGGGACAACTCCATGACAAGGCCAACTGAGAAGGTTTGCTTTGGTCTGGACACCTGGTGGGTCTCTCCCCGCCCACTAGGGGGGAGAGAGCAATCCCGGGTCCTGACTGGCTGTCATACACCCTGGTGGGGATGGGGAGAGGAACACAGGTGCTCTCTGAAGTTCATTCTCCTCTAGGGTCTCAACCCCATTTTCCTGTATTCTCATTTCCTCCCTCAGGTGCCAAATCTGGGAAATCCTTCCACATCATCTCCCAAAGGTCAGGAAACCAGAGATTGAAGTAGAAATGGGGAAGAGAATGGAGTTGGAATTTGGAGTGCAAAGACTTCGCCATTACTTTGTTGCCAGCCGTGATGGCGATAAGGGATGTCACGGTGCTGGTGGATAAGATGCTCATTGCAACAGCAGTGGTCCTTCTTTCTTTCTTTCTTTTTTTTGAGACTGTTTCCCTCTGCCATCCAGGCTGGAGTGCAATGGCGAGATCTTGGCTCCCTGCAACCTCCACCTCCGGGTTCAAGTGATTCTCCTGCCTCAGCCTCCCCAGTAGCTGGGATTGTAAGCCCACACCACCACAGCTATTGTTTGTATTTTTAGCAGAGCTGGGGTTTCACCATATTGGCCAGGCTGGTGAACTCCTGACCTCAGGCAATCCACTCACCTTGGCCTCGTAAAGTGCTGAGATTACAGGCGTGAGCCACCACACCTGGCCTACAGTGGCCCCTCTGACCTCAGGCAACCCACCCACCTTGGCCTCGTAAAGTGCTGGGATTATAAGGCGTGAGCCACCACACCTGGCCTACAGTGGCTCCTCTCTTGAGTACCTCCTGCTTACATACTTGGCACTCTACTGGGCACATTCTCATATCTCACTAAATGTAGTTATTATTATCCCTGTTATACTGAGCTCAGAGAGGCCAAGAGTGACTGACCCAGAGTCCCATGGGCAGGTGCAGAGGTCCTGCCTGTGGGAATCTCTGAGGGGTGTGGCTACATGAGGGTCTTGGATCCCTGAGGAGGGGCAGACGGTGCAGTGCAGAGAGCTTCTAAAATGAGGCTCAGACCTTGTAGCGTTGAGTTACTGAACAAACTACTATATACATAAGTAAAGCTAGGGTGCCCTCGAGACAGCCCTGACCCCCCCAGCCTCAGTTTCCCTGTCTATAAAATGGAAATGATGACTTCCCTGCTCTGTTTATATTTGGGAAGATGGTTGTGAGGGTAAATGCAATTCTGTTTGTGGTGGGGATGCCATCATCATCATGAATTATTAGTAAAGGAGAAATCTCTGCTGGAGAAGCCCCAGAAGGGGGGCATACTGAGGGGGCTCTCAGGGGAGCCACAGGCAGGAGAGGCCTGGAGCCTATACTGCAGGTGCCCCGTGGCTGTATCCAGGCCTTGCCATGGGTGCCAGGGCGATCTCTAATCACCTGAGGGCTTCCTCTGGAGGATCAGCCTCTGCCTTGTCTCATGGTGAGTGAAATGCAGGATACGGCACATCCCTCCTCTCCCCTGGTGGGAAGATGCTGGAGGATGGCCCCATGCTGCTTCCCGGCACCCCTGTGGGAGAAGGCTCCAGTTCCTCATGATGGGAACATTAATGATGGCTCCACCTTCACTGGCTGCCTCCCTTCCTGGCTTCATTTCCCCTCTGCCTTAGGAGGTATCCAGGGGAATAAACCACCTCCCAAATAAACTACTTGTACCCCATCCTCATCCCAAGGATGCTCCCTGGGAAATCCAAACTAAGGCCTACAATGCTCCTAAAATTTCCGAGGCCCAAACAAGGAAAAAAAATATGTATCAAGGCTGGAGGAATTCTATAAAAGGAAAGAAAGCACGTGGAGACAATCTAAACTAGAAGTTTTGAAACTTTCCATTTTAGACCTGGATCCTTTTTCCTTTTTCAAAAATAGGTTTTATGTAAATAAACGCCCAGAACAATGCCTGGCACACAGTAAATGCTGAAAATATCTAAGTGGAAGGAGTGACTGTTATGTTTAAGTTATTTTAAAGTGATACTGGCCTGATGCGTGGGGGAAAAGTCCTGAGCCCCGCCCCCTCCTCCTCCCTGGATCATCCCCACCTGTGAGCACGCAGGTGGCTGGAGCTCACATCCTGCATCCTGCACGTGAACTGGCTGAGGGTTTCATTGCAGATTGGAGGCAGGGTTGGGCCTGGACCCCTGGTCTCTACTCCTGTGAAGCTTCCCTGCTCCCTGCACCTTCCACCCCCTTCCGCCTGCTGTGTCTCCTCCCCACCCTGCCCAGCACTGACCTGTGATGGTGAGGATGCAGAGTAAGATGGCTACCACTGCCTGGATGCTCACACCTGCCTGGGCGGCCACATCCTCGCAGAAGGTGAACTTGCCCTGCTCGTTGCACTTGCACACGGCCACGGTTAGTGTGTTGGTGCCCGTGCGGCTTGGCGTCCCATTGTCTGAGATGATCACGGGTAGGAAGTGGACCTTGGTATGCTCCCGGTCAAACTGCCCGTACTTGACTGTGATGTTGGCCGTGTTATCTGGAAACACCAAGGCATAAGAGTCAGGTTTTGCCATCTGCACAGATGGGGGAACGTGGCTCCTCCAGGAAGCCCTCCCTGGCTGCACCAGCCCGCAGGCCTGTTCCTCCACAGAGGGGATATTTTGGGGGCAGCTGCTTTGACCCAGTCTCCAAGAACGCCTTGGCAAAAGAAGGTAAAATCCTTTGCTTTCTGTATTTATGGGCAACTGATGCCTGTCCCTTTCCTCTTCCCTAACCCCACTCCAGTAACAGGAAGTTTTCTCTTTCAGCTCAATTAATGCACTGTTTCAAGCTTTGACAAGCAATGGGGAAAAAGTTTTAAAAAGTCTTTTAGCACTGGGCGTGGTGGCTCACGCCTGTAATCCCAACACTGTGGGAGGCCAAGGTGGGTGGATCATCTGAGGTCGGGAGTTCAAGACCAGCCTGACCAACATCGACAAACCCCATCTCTACTAAAAATACAACATTAGCTGGGTGTGGTGGCGCATGCCTGTAATCCCAGCTACTTGGGAGGCTGAGGCAGGAGAATCATTTGAATCTGGGAGGTGGAGGTTGTGGTGAGCTGAGATTGTGCCATTGCACTCCAGTCTGGGCAACAAGAGCGAAACTATGTCTCAAAAAAAAAAAAAAAAAAAAGTATTTTAGCATTAGGCTAACTTCTAAGGCAACTTTTGCTATCTCTGAAAATCCACTGTTACATTGTTGAACATGGTAAAAACAATGGGCATGTTCCTTGGGCGCAGAGAAAATGATTACATATAGAATTGTGGGTTTCCTGGGCAGTTTGGAACTGGGAAATGCTTTTGTCCAAATATTGGCCCAGCCCACCTTTCCAGATCCAATCAGTGGTTTCCTGTACCTAAGAATCCCCCAGGGAGCTTTTAAAACATACTGATTTTCAGACCCATACCCTCACACACTTTTTATTCAGTGGTTCTGGGCAGAGGCCAGATAATCTGCCTCTGGCAGGGTCCCAGGAGGTTGTAATGTCAACCATCAGAGAAGGATCCAGGGCCCCCCTTCTCCAGGATTTCCTTAGCTACACGGGCTCCACGCACTTGGCCAGAAAGCCCAGGAAGCCATTGTTTAGATTTCAAATGAAAGCCAATTACATTACAGCATTAAGTCTATTATAATTCAAAATAAACTATATGTCATTGACACTTATGGGAGAAATTAGAGATTAGGACATGCAGGATGTTCATGATATAAATGAATTTGACATGAACAGACTTGCTTCCTATTGTATATGGGTGTCTTTGGGGTGGCACTGAATCTTTCTACCGCATTGCAGATCCCTACTCTGAGATGGGACTGAGGTGGACATTGGGGATGGGGTGACAGTTTTGCCACATTATTTACTTCTTTTTTTTTTTTGAGATGGAGTCTTGCTGTCACTAGGCTAGAGTGCAGTGACATGATCTCGGCTCACTGCAACCTCTACCTCCTGGGATCAAGTGATTCTCCTGCCTCAACCTTCCCAGTAGCTGGAATTACAGGCTACCAACACCACGCCCAGCTAATTTTTGTATTTTTAGGAGAGACGGGGTTTCACCACGTTGGCCAGGATGGTCTCGATCTCTTGAGCTTGTGATCCGCCCACCTCGGCCTCCCAAAGTGCTGGGATTATAGGTGTGAGCCACCGTGCCCAGCCCACATTATTTACTTCTAATGACAACTGGCTGTTGAATGGTCTGTCATAGACTGTCAACACATCTGGGCCACCTTCTCTGTCCCACAGGCTGATCCCTCCAGTCTTCCCCAAACTCTCAGGGACCCCACTCCCCAACCTTCCTCAAAGGTAGCAATACAGTCATCTGCATCCATCAGAGTTTTGCCTGTTAGGGACAGGCAGGAATTCCGTCCTGGGCTGGTGAAGGATCACTGTATTTAAACTCAAGGGGAATCTTGTCTATTTTTCTGAGGAAATTGCAGAGGCCATGGAAGCTTGCCTACTTGTGGCTGGAATGAAGTCAACTCAGCATCATCACTCAAGTCAGCACCAGTCAGAAGCTCTGATTGGCTGCTAATGACATCACATGGGCCACCCTGCTAATCGTAAGTAGTCATTGCATCTGAATGAAAACAAAGCTCACTGTATCTTTGAGATTTCGGACTTCACATTTCCAGTTTTGACTCTTTGAAAGTGACCTCAAAGTTCCATGTTAATTTGCAGTTTTCCTGATGTACAGAGACTCCAGTGTGGGGGGGGGCTCCTTGGCTAATTTTGAACTGAGCTGACTGCCTGCACCCCCACATCTGTTCTGTACTCCTCGCTGGCCTGAGCATCTTATGGGTGAATTGCAGGCAATGTGGACTTGGGAGTTTGGTTGGAGTGGTTCTGACCATTGCACAGATCAATCGTACAAGGTATGTGGCAGGAATTGTACAAAACATCTGATGACTTGAAAACCCCAGTGGAGGCCTGCCATCAATTTGTTTGCCTGGCCTTTGACCTTGGTGCCTCAAGACTCAAATAACCTCACCCCAACCCTGTTAGAGCCAACTGATGGCATTTGTTGTTTTTTTGGAGACAGGGTTTCGCTCTGTTGCCCAGGCTTGAGTGCAGTCATGTGATCATAGCTCACTGCAGCCTCAAACTCCTGGCCTCAAGTGAGCCTCCTGCCTCAGCCTCCTGAGTAGCTGGGACTATAGGCATGGGCCGTCATACTCGGCTGAACCGATTACTTTGATACCTACCGTGATTATCCGTAAGGGTAAAGTTGGTCTCAGTTTTCAGAGCGAATTTGAACTTCACGTTTTGTGGTGTTATGTCCTTGTCTATTGCGGAGATCTGCAGGACCAGCTGGAGTGTGAAAGACAGGGGATATCAGTGATGGTGGTGGGTAGTCTGAGGTTCAGTGATGGAGCCTTTGGGTTTAGACCTGACCATGGCGGTTTCCCACCTGTAACACTCGCCTACTTAGTGCTTTATAAAGCCAGTCTTTCCACTCCCCTGCCCTGCCAATTTACTCCCCAGACGTCCTCTCTGAGCCTCACTTTCTCCATCTATAAAATGGGTATAATGTTATTTTCCTCAAGGCTGTTGTACAGGGGAACTTCCGCTGACTCTGTTGAGCAGTTCTGCTCCTCAGCCTGCCCAGGGTGGCACTGTCTTCCCCTCCCACCTGAACCAGACTCACCTGGCCATGAGCAGCGTTCTCACACACTTTGGGCTGGTAGGGCTCGGCAAACTCCGGGGCGTTATCATTCTCATCTAAAACTTCAATATGGACTTGCACAATGGATTCTTTGCCCGTGGGGGTCCCTGCAGGGGAGAAGACAGTCACCATGATGGGCTCAGCTGATGCTGGCCCTGGAGGGTGGAAGCTGTGTGGATGGGTAGTCCAGGAGGGCTGCCCTGTGGAAGCCACTTTTTGCAGGAGGAGGCTATGGAACAGAGGCCGGGGATGATGTTTTGGATGAAAGGAGTTTCGTCGGGGGAGGTGTTAAATCTTTATCCATAAGGTTTACTGAGGTATTACTTTGATTATGAGCGTCAAAAAGGTAAACCACCTAAGTGCATTAAAAATATTGTAATTAAATTCCTAAAATTAAAAATTTAATTATTTGATTAAATACATAAGATATAATAAATTAATCGTAAAATAATCGAAAAGGTAAACAACCTAAGTGAGATTGGATCAGTAAATTAGGCCACTGGAAAAGGATTAAACGTATGGCTATTGATAATGCCCATGTAAATTACATCTTAAAAAAATAATCAAAAAAAATTTTAAGGCCCAGTGCCTGTGATCCCACACTTTGGGAGGCCCAGAAGGGAGGATTACTTGAGGCTCAGAGTTGGAGACAAGCCTGGGCAACATGGTGAGACCCCATCTCTTCAAAAAATTAAGTCATTAGCTGGGCGAGGTGGCACACACCTATAGTCCCAATTACTCAGGAGGCTGAGGTGGGAGGATCATTTGAACTCAGGAATTAGAGGCTACAGTGAGCTGTGATCATGCCACTGCACTTCACCCTGGGCAACAGTGTAAGATACCATCTCTCTCTTAAAAAAAAACTTATTACCAATTACCATGAGAAAATGGTTCTGGAATAAGGTGAAATAAAAATGTGGAATATAAGATACAAATATTACAATCTCACTTACATAAAAAACATGTATAGAAAAGACCATAAAAATACATGAATGTGCTAATAGTAATTGTCTCTGCATGGTGGCATTGGTGGGAAGAGTATTTTCTTCTCCTTTTCTGTATTTTCCATATTTTAAACGATTTAAATTTAAAGATTCTATGAGTGGGATTATATGGAGGGGACTGATCTGGCAAAACATGCAGGAGTCCATTACAGTTGGGGGCAGCTGCTGTGTTGGAAGAAGAGAGTCTGGGTGGGCCCAGCAGGCACCAGGGGTCCTTGGCCAAGTCACTCCCTCCCTGGGCCCTAGTGGGCTCCTGGGAGTATTCATAGTTCTCCTGGAGGGTGATTGTGATTTTCTCACATAGATAAAGGATGCAAAACTCCAACTCTTGCCCCTCCCTCTGGCAAAAATTACACAATTTCTGGAGAACCTCACAATCTCAAAGTTGGAAGCTGCTTCACATTTTGAATTCTACCTGTGAACTGGTACATAAACAGCCTCTGAAGGAACAGTTCCCAAACAGCCATGATACTAGGAATCATGGAACCCTTCTTAAGAGCACCTGTCTGGCTCCCTGGACCAGAAGCTGCAGGGTGGAGTAGAGCTTTATGCTTGATCGGTGACTTGGGTGATTCTCATCACAGAGACATCTACACAGCCTGTTTCGTGACAGTGCTTCTCAAACTGTGACATGCATGAGATTCTGATTCAGTGTGGGGGTGAGGCCGAGATGCACTTCCAACAAGGTCTCAGGGTATGTTGATACTGCTGGTTCAAGGACCACACTTGGGCATGGAAGCTCTATAGCATCCCAACCAATGGGTGCTTCAGCAAGCACTTCTAATACCCCTAGAGACCCCAAATGATTGATTATGCTGGTTTTGGAAGAAAGAGGGAAAAGGAAAAGAACCCAAGTGCCCTGGCAGATGGGGCCACTCACCAGTGGAATCCAGTTCTTTGGCCTCCACAGTCAGGTTATACCAGGGGTAGACTTCTCTGTCCAGTTCTTTCTCATTGTAAATGTCCCCCTTTTTTGTGACTCGGAAGAATTGGCCTTTGTCACTGGTCCTGCGGATGGAGTATCTGCCCAGGGGAGAGAGTTTCATGGCTTTCTGTTGTTCTTTGCTTGGTCTACACCCCTCAGCGTGATGGACAAGGCCCTTCCGCATCTATCCTCCGCATCCCACTCCATGCCCTCTCTCACTGCTCATTGTACTCTGCCACCAGACAAGAGTGGAACTACACAGAGGGACTCAGGATAGCAAGATAATGTCTTTGATCTTAGTGATGTTGCAATCACTGGACTGAAGTTGGTACCTGAGACCATCAGATGCACTTTCAAAGCTGAGCAGGTGACATCACACCATAGCTGGGACTTGTTTTTGTGATTAATGAAAAGATCATTGGGTAAGAGCCAGGAAGAAATACAAAAAGAGCTGGAAGAGATATGAAGTAATTACAAAGAAATTAACTTTGAAGTAAAATTTTAAAAAGTTATTTTGAAAATCAGGAAAAATCTATGGCAAGATAAATATATATGTTCCTTTTTCTTTTCTTTTTTTTTTTTTTTTTGAGACGGAGTTTCGCTCTTGTTGTCCATGCCGGAGTGCAATGGCATGATCTCAGCTCACTGCAACATCCGCCTCCCGGGTTCAAGCAATTCTCCTGCCTCAGCCTCCTGAGTAGCTGGGATTACTGGCATGGGCTGTCTTGCCCGGCTAATTTTGTATTTTTAGTAGAGACAGGGTTTTTCCATGTTGGTCAGGCTGGTCTTGAACTCCTGACCTCAGGTGATCCACCTGCCTCGGCCTCCCAAAGTGTTCAGATTACAGGCATGAGCCACCGCGCCAGGTGCATGTTTCATATATACAGGAATAATAGTTGTTCTTAATGAGGATAATCCCAGAACAAACAGAACAGAAGAAATAACAAAAAAACATAATAAAAGAAAACTTTCCTGACCTGAAGAAAGACATCATTGACATCAGGCATCATTTAAAAACAACAACAACACAATATTTAGGCATACGCATATCCTGATGACACTTATGAATTTCAAGGCTATGTGAAGAAACTGAAAAGAGTCCAGACAGAGAGAATTTCCTTATGAAGAAAGAAAAATCATATATGCCAAAGATGCCCCCACAAAATTAAATGCTAGAATACATTGATAGTATTTTGGAAGGGAAGTGTTTACAATCTGAGGATTATATGAGCACATTTAGGTGTTATTAGAAGGTGAGGTTGGGCACGGTGGCTCATACCTATAATTTGAGTGCTTTGGGAGGGGCTGAAGCTGGAGGTTTGCTTGAGGCCAGGAGCTCAAGACCAGCCCAGGTGACAGAGTAAGACCCTGTCTTGAAAAAAAAAATTAGCCTGATGTGGTGGTGTGTGCCTGTAGTCCCAGATACTCAGAGGCTGAGGTGGGAGGGTTGCTTGAGCCTAGAGGTTCAAGGCTAAGTGAACTATGATTGTGCCACTGCACTCCAGCCTGGGTGACAGAGCAAGAACCTGACCAAAAAAAAAAAAAAAAAAAAAAAAAAGGCAAAGAACTAAGAAATTTGTGTCCTGAATTTTTTTTTTTTGTGTGTGAAAACTTACTGTATCTAACTAAACAGTTTAATATAAAGTAAAATCATGGTATGGGAAAAATTAAAACAAAACTATTGATTTGTTTATCTACAAAAGCAACGTGTGTGTGTGTGTGTGTGTAATAGTTTTAACTAGAAAATATAGGTCCAAGAAAACATTTTAAATTTTGCAGATAGCAGTAAATCTCACTGGTAGAAACAAAAATGGATGCACCTCATTCAAATATTGAAAAGAAAAAAATATTAAAAAAAGACTGTACAGCAAAGATGGGGAAAAAGAAAAAAGCCATTAAATTTGATAAATGGGAAATGTAAAACAAGATAAAAGAAGATCAAACATGTCAATTATGATGAAAAATGTAAATAGGTTAAACACAAAGCATTTCCATTTAGATTGAAAAGCAAAGCCAAATGCATTCTGGTTTTCAAGAGCCATAATACCAAATGACCTGGAAAAGTTAAAAGTAAAGGTTGGAAAATTTGCATTAGGCAAATATGAATAACATGAAAACAGAACTAACAAATGTAACATCAGGAAACACAATTAAAGGCAAAATATTTAAGCAGAACAAATTGGCTAATTTCATTCGGATAAAAGTTACAAGCCATAATGAAGGTAAAATAGTTGCAAACCTTTGTTAACTGAATAGAAACATTAAAATACATAAAGTCAAAACTTAGATATTCTAGGAAAAAGTGGACACAAATACAATTGTATCACATCAAAGAACAAGCTAAAACAAAACCAAAAAAAAAAAAAAAAAACCCCGATTTGTAAAAGAAAAAAAAGAAATCAAGTCAATCTCTTAAATAAACCCTTGGATCAAAGGAGAAACAAAAATTATAATTACAGGCTATTTAGACTATAAGGGCAGTGAAAAAAGCAGTCCTAAAACTTAGGAGATGAGGCCAAAATGAAGAACATATTTTGTCCTTAATAAGAAGACTTAATATCCTTGAAACATTAGCTATACCAAAATTAATATATAAACACTAATGTTTATAATATATACAAACATTAGAATTCTAATGTTTAAAAAACTTGGATACAAAATTTTAAAGTTTGAGAGTGGACAAAAAATTATAACAAATAAAAAAGCAATGAGGGAAGGACTTTTATGTATATCTAAGGTCTGGTGTAAAGCTATATGGTTTGCATCTGTGTCCCCACCGAATCTGACGTCAAAAGTAATCCCCAGCATTGGAGGTGGGGCCTGGTGGGAGGTGGATAGATCATGGGGGTGGAGTGCTCATGAATGGGTCAGCACCACCCCCAAGTTCTGTTCTCCTGATAGTGAGTGAATGAGTTATCATGAGCTCAGATTGCTGAAAGTTGTGTAACAACTCCCTTCCCACTTCTGTTCTAGCCATGTAAGACGTGACTGCTTCTCTAGGATTGTAGGTTTCCTGACGCCTCCCAAGAAGCAGAAGCCACTAAACTTCCTGTATAGCCAGTGGACACACGAGCCAATTAAACCTCTTTTCTTTATGAATTACCCAGTCTCAACTATTTCTTTATAGGAGAATGAACTTATACAAGCTAGTACAATAAAACAGAATGGCTTTGCTACAGAACTATAGAAAGGTCAGAGAATTCAGAAGTAGATTCAGGTATACACAGAACTTAATATTTAACAAAGGTGGGAAAATTTTGACTTATGATATTTAGTAAATGATTCTGGCAAAATCGGCTACCCATCTGCAATAAAATAAGGCTGAATTGAATTTATACTTACGATTGCATATTATGTGGCTCTAAAAAGTATTTGTTAGAACTATATCATTTTTTCCAAAGATTGGGAAAGAGACATTTAGTTACAATAGAAGAGTAAATATTGATGAAATGAGCATGGCATGATCCAAAAAAAATTTAAAAACAATCAAACACCAAAAGCAAACAGACAACAACAAACCCACCATGATCAGATCCACATGTCTGTGTGGTCGTGAAAAGAAAGGAGCAATAGGACCAGATCAGGCCATGAACATGCATTATCTGAGAGTGGGGGTTCTCAATATTTTCTTGGTAGATCTTTGTGTTGTTTCACTGTACGAAACCAACACTTCTTATTTTTGTGGATTTTGGGAGATAGATTTAAGAAAACAGTTTTGGCCTGGCGTGGTGGCTCACACCTGTAATCCCAGCACTTTGGGAGGCCGAGGCAGGTGGATCACAAGGTCAAGAGATCAAGACCATCCTGGCCAACATGGTGAAATCCTGTCTCTATTAAAAATACAAAAATTAGCTGGGTATGTTGGCATATGCCTGTAGTCCCAGCTACTCAGGAGACTGAGGCAGGAGAATCACTTGAACGTGGGAGGTTGCAGTGAGCCGAGATCACACCACTGCACTTCAGCCTGGTGACAGAGCGAGACTCCATCTCAAAAAAAAAAAGGAAACAGTTTTAGTGAAGGGGCCTCTGGTGTGTCATCTGATTGGTTGCTCTCTTGACTGTCGGATCTTACTGCATAGGACTGGTGGGAGTTGTGGTGCATAGTACAAGCCTTCAAGGTGGGACAGAGGACAGGTAGCTCTGGATGCCCAGGACCATGCTAGGTGGGGGACCCCGGGCAGGCCAAGATGCCAGGCTGCCAGGTGCAAGAGCTTGGGCTTCTGGTCTTGCTTCTGTCACTTTCCCTGCAAGTGCCAGGAGAAGCCAGTTCCCCTCTCTGGGTCCTGGTCTCAGACCAGCAGGCATAGGAACATCCAGCCATAATTGTTCTTATCATCCTCAATGACAAGCCCCCCCCCCCACCCTTACCCAATGTTGTGCCTAGCCGCATCAGGGTCCTTGGCCAGCACTGTGCCGATCAGAGGCTTCTTCTGGTTTTCCTTCAGCTGGAAGTGGTAGGAATGCTGCTGGAAGACTGGAGGCTCGTCCACATCTATGATATTGATGATGACCTGGGCTCTGTTTCCAGCAGGAACGCTTAGGTATCGGAGGTCAATGGTGGGGTCTGTGGCCTCGACGATGAAGCTGTATTGCTGGATGTGTTCATAATCCAGAGGCTGTGTAAGAAAAAAGAATGGGGAATGCCTGCTCTTGGCCAACCACATGTGTGGCACATGATCTACACAGCGGCCCTGCAAGGTCCCAGGATGACACCCATTTTATAGATGAGGGACCCATGGCCTTGACAGGTGATATTTCCGAGGTTATCAAGACAGCGGCTGGGCCTGGTATGTGTCCTCAGCTGCTCCCCATTTCATCTCAGCGGCCTCATGGCCACATCCACAACCCTGGCTCTGTGCCTGGCTCTGTTTCCAGTGTTAGGGACATGCAGTGTATCAGCTATGGTCCTGCTTTTAAGGGCATCCCTAGTGGGTCTACCCATAGATTCTTAAGGACAGATTTTTCTTTATTTTTGAGACAGGGTCTTGCTCTGGTTGCCCAGACTGGAGTGGAGTGGCACAATCTCGGCTCACTGCAACCTCCACCTCCCTGGTTCAAGTGATTCTCCTGCTTCAGCCTCTCAAACATCTGGGATACAGGCACCTGCCACCATGCCCAGCTAATTTTTGTATTTTTAGTGAAGACGGGGTTTCACCATGTTGGCCAGGCTGGTCTAAAACTCCTGACCTCAGGTGATCCACCTACCTCAGCCTCCTAAAGTGCTGGGATTATAGGCGTGAACAACTGGCCCTGGCTGGACATGCTTTTTCTTTATGCCTTTGCTCAAGATGCTTCTCCTGCCCTTGCCTGCCTAGAAAACTCTTATTCATCCCTCGGGAAGCCAAACAGAAGGTAATCAGATGCTCTCTCAGAAACCCCTCCCAGCAGAGGTAATTGCTCCCTGTTTGGAGCTGCTGTGTATCACTCACACCTGGCTGTACTTTTTTTGTTCATGTGTATGTCTTCCCTATTTGCTGAGGGTTTTGCTGACACTGGAGGCTGTGTCTACCTCTTCTTGGTGTTTCCAGGCCCCAGCATGGGGCTGGGTCAGAGGAGGACTCAGGCCCAGGACTCACAGTCCTCTGCATGGCCATTCCAGAGGCACTTTTTAATGCCCCTGACAGGACCTCTTCCTCTTCTTCCAGATTCAGTTGATCTGGCTTTCCTGACTGTCAGCACCATCCAGTGTCTGTGGTCATCCATGTTCCCACAATTACTCCCTGTTTTTTTCATGCTGATGGCTTTCTATTAGCCAGGACACAGGGCAGGCCAGAAAGTACCAGAGAGGTAACATCTCCAGGAGCAGCTCCCAGTCAGCACCACAGAGAGTGGGTGTATAAATACCCCAGCTCCCTCACCCTCAGCTGCTGCAACTCTGAGATGTGTTCCAAACTGGTCCCCCAATGGGTCATTGCTCCTGGGGTTTCCTGGGATCACCTCCCAGATAAATGATTTATACCCAATCTTTGCCTTGAGATCTGTTTCCTGAGTAACTCAGTCTAAGACAGTGGATCATAGTCTCCACGAACACATGAGCAGCTCAGAGCTTTGATGGCCCTTTGACGGTCTCTGGCCCAGGAGCAACCCCCAGGCAGGACCTGTGGGTGCCACAAGCCCCAAGCCCCACGTTTGACATTGTTGCCCTTGGCCTACAAACCTTCATGGGCTTGATGATGCCCTCGTTGTGGGTGGGGTTTGTCTCAATGGTGAAAGCATCCTGGTAGTCACCCCGCAAGATGCTGTACTTGGTCATCCGGTTCTGGGGCTCATCTGGGTCCTTAACAAACAGAGAGCCCACGGAGGTGCCCACACGAGTGTCTTCAGGCACGGCAAATGTATACTTGGCTGATGCAAACAGAGCACCCCAAAGGGCCTTGGGTTAATGAGACAGACAAGGCGATTGTCTCTTTATGCTATTCTAACATATTTTGATACAAGAAATGGGCATAATGCAATAATCATAAATTTTAATACCCCCAGATTCTCAAGGTAAAAAGGGTCTTCCCTTTCTGTATGTCCATCCATCCATCCCTCCATCCAATAAACATCTATGGAGCACCTATTGTATGCCAGGCACTTTGCTAGGGGACCTATCAATGGACAAAGAGACAAGTCTTGCCTTCAGGGAGCTTATGCCATGCACAAGGAAGCCACTTCAGGAAAACCGGCCTGTCTCTAGGGCAGCTAAATGACTAAATGACAGCATCAGCACTGGGGATGCAAGTGGACAGAGCCATCTGCCCCAGGGCGTGGGAAAGCTCTCATCAGATGTTCTTTGTGGGGAGGATCATTTCGTAGGTGGGGTCAGAGATCAGCCCTGGCTCTGGATATAGAACTTTGCTGCTCCCAGGTTCACTGATGTGTGGGACTTTCTAGCTGGGACCTGAGTCTCAGTGCTTTGATTTTCCTAAGCTGGTGGGATTTGGGTGAAACTGCTCGTGTCTCATGGTGGGACACCGGGCATAGTGGTGGCTTCCAGCAAGGAGTGGGATTTCCCTCTGGCCTGTGAGGGGACTGTGGCAGGAGGCAGCAGGATGGCCTTGGGAATGCAGTACTGGGATGGAAGCAGGGCCCCTCCCTGTGCCCAAAGGATTCCTTTGGACATCAGGCCTACCCTGGGATAGAGGGAAAGGTAAAGGGATGCGTAACTCCTCCCACAGAGTCCCAAGTCACTGAGTCTAGGGTATCCCAGCCCCCCTTCCCAGGGCCCTAGAGGAGGGGCTCACTCTGGGTGAAGTAGGGGAAGTTGTCATTGATGTCTCGCAGAGTGACCAGCACGGTGGCCGTGCCCGATTCCCCCCGGAGGCCCTGGGCATCTCGTGCTTCCACCACGATCTCGTACCTGGCCTGCTTCTCTCGGTCCAAGTTTTTGGTTGCTGTGACAATAAGGCCTGCAAAAAGAGTCCCAGCAGGAGCCATGTTACCAGCTTCTAGAAAATACTGATACTTGAGGCCTACTCAGAGAGAACCTGACTTAAGAGCTTCCCAGGTGATTTCACTGTGCAACCAGGGCTGAGAACCATGAGTCTACAACCCACTACCTCCATGGCTATACTGTGAGGCCAAAGCTGGCCCAACGGTTGGGTTCAGTATTGGTCCTCATCACCTGGAACGTTGTGTTGACAAAGACCATGAGGTCATATCCAGGCTCAGAGCAAAAGAGTTCTGTGGTAGATTAGTGATGTCTGCCTTGGTGCACGGTAGCACAGCAGTGGCATCTGTGCTATGTATTTTCCATCTCTCTGAAAGACAGTTCCACTGGACTTCTGTCTTGCTCCCAAGAGTCAGTCCTTACAGTTTTTTAAGTCACCACATGAGCAATTACTATGGGCCTTGCTGTCTCTATATATGATCTAACTCAAACTTCACAGCTACCATACAACATAAATATAAGCATTCCTACTTCCTAGATAAGGGACCTAAGGCCTGCAGAAGTTCGTCTATTTGTCCAAGATCTCTGGAGGGGGTGAGTAGCAGAGCTGGCTTTGGAAACCAGATCTGTCGGAACCTGCACCCAGAGCAGCTAGCCAGCATTCTCTGCTGCCCCTTGGTCACTTCTTGGGTAACAAGATCCTGATTTTGTTCCCTGGACTTGAGTCCATGTCTTGGGCACCTGCCTGCTTCCTTCTCTCTTGATCAGCTGCCTTGTCTTTACACATGATACTGACTACCTCCATGGCACAGTGTGGTGCGGTGGCCAGTGACACCTCTCAGACTTCCCCTCGCACATGCACCTGGAGTATCAACCTCCCCTTGTCCCTCCAAGTCAGTGAGTGTCCAGGAGTGTTAGTCACACAGACCAGTATTATCGATGGCAAAATACTCTTTCCCCTTCAGGATTTGGTACATGACAGAGGCATGGTCTGCCACAGTGGGGTCGTCTGCATCCACTGCTGTCACAGAGGTGACTGAGGTTCCTGCAGAGAGAGAATCATGGGGTTGCTGACTTGTGACTGCAAGGCCCCTACCCCATTCCTAGAAGAGAGCAGATGGGGCTCGGGCTGTGCTCTGTCCTCACCTCCCCCAGGTCCTGGGAAGAAAAGGCTGTTTTGTTTTCTGAGGAGCCTGCACGGGAGCAAAGTGTTGGTGGCAGTGGGGACCCAGCCAGGTCAAACTTGAAGGGGTCAAGGAGATCAGGTGATTTATGTGCTTCCTGGGGAAATGAGGGAGGGGGCGGAGGGTTGGGGTCAGGGAGAGAAACTGAGGAGAGCAATGGGCTATTTCTCCCTCTCCTGGAAAGATGCCACCAAAGGGGTGGTGTCACTTCTTGCATCCCCTTGAACTCCAGGATCCCACACTTAACCAGAAGGACTGGTCCCAGCACCCTGGCTGGAGACTCTGGACTGAGGGGCTGAGGAGGGAAGCTCTTTTCTGGCACCCTCTGGAGTCTGGGGGTATAAGGAGATAGAGTAGTCACCTCCTAAGCCCAGAGCCCAGGCTGGTGATACACCTTGGGGCTAGTGCTCTGTCCCCCACACCACTCCTGCATGGCCCCTAGAGATGACTCCTTTTGCCTTGGTGGCAGGCCATGGCAGTCTTCATCTGCAAAGGCTACACTCTTGGTGTGCTAGTCCTGAGAGTCAGAGGCAGTGCATGGAGTTTGTTCCAAAGAGTAATGAGATATGTGTGTGTCTCTGATGGCCATGGGTGAGTTCATAATCGAAATCAGAGCACAGTCTATGACTAGGGGCAAGACTGAGTCCAGGATCAGAATCAGAGCTCAGTCTATGACTAGGATCAGGGCTCATTCAATGATCAGGATTAAGGCTAAGTTTATGACTAGGGTCAGGGCTTAGTCCATGATCAGGATCAGGGCTCTGTCCATGATCAGGATCAGAGTTCAGTCCATGATCAGGATCAGGGGTCAGTTTATGACTGGGATCAGGGCTCAGTCCATGATCAGGATCAGGGCTAAGTTTATGACTATAGTCAGGGCTCAGTCCATGATCAGGATCAGGACTTGGTCTGTGACTAGGCTTAGGGTTCAGTCCATGATCAGGATCAGGATCAGGGCCAAGTTTGTGACTATAGTCAGGGGTCAATCCATGATTATGATCAGGGCTTGATCTATGACTAGGGTCAGAGCTCAGCCTGTGGCCAGATCAGAGCTTGTTAGGAACTAGAGTTTCTTTCAAATCATATAAAGTGGCAACACAGGCATTACAATCACTGCCCTGAACTCACCGAATTCCTACCCCAGGCAGTAAAGTGGCTGATGTGAGAAGTACCCCTGGGTGGGGATGAGGGAGGTAGGAGGATAGAGTGGGCATGCAACGTACCCACAGCCGATGACTCAGGCACAGACGCATTGAACAATCGATGCGAGAACACAGGCCAGTTGTCGTTCACATCGTGCACTTTGATGGTGAAGCTGGAAGGAGTCTCCAGGTTTTCGCCGGTGTCCTTGTCCGCGATGACAGCAGTGAGGTGGTACTCTGAGATGTTCTCCCGGTCCAGCCTCTCAATGGCAAACACATCTCCTGTCTCTGCGTCGACCCGGAAGACCTTGCCCACAAACTCTCCTCTGAGCAGGTACTTGGCATTCTTGCGATTCACACTCGACTTGATCTAGAAGAGAAGAGGTGATGTGAGCTGGGAATGGGTGGCGGCAGCTGTACGTTACTGTGTGAGTGAGAGTGTGTGCACACAAGTGTGCATCTGCATGTGTGTGCATGTGTGTATGTGGTGTGTGTGGTGCTGGCCAGGGGCCCTAAATGTGACACTGAGGTTTTTATCAAGAACCTCTGGCAGCCACAAAAAAGAATGAAATCATGTCCTTTGCAGCAAATGGATAGAGTTGCAGGCCATAATCCTAAGTGAACTAACGCAGAAGCAACAAATCCAGTACTGCATATTCTCACTTATAAGTGGGAGCTAAACAATTGGTACATGTGGCCATAAAGATGGAAATAATAGACACTGGGGACTCCAAAAGAGGGGAGGTGGGGATGAGAGTGAGGGTTGACAAATGACCTATTGGGTATGACGTTCACTATTTGAGTAATGGGTACACTAGAAGCCCAATTCCCACCAGTATGCAATATACAGGTAATAGACATGCACATGTATCCCCCCCCAAAAAAATTTTTTTAAGCCAAAAAAAAAAAAAAAAAAGAACCTTTGACTGGCCACCAATGAGTTGTCCTCATGGTGTGACCTGCTGGCAGAGCCCCAGTATGCACCAGAATGGTGCCTGAACACAGTAGGTGATTAGAAAACATTTTTGGGTGGAAAAATATACTTGGTGCCATTGGAAGCCAAAGGATATTTTTGCCCCGTAGAGGTCATGTAACCTCTCTGAGTTGTAGTTACCTCATTTGTAAAATGGAAATAATATTGCTTCTGATGTTGCTTTGCTCTGAGGAGTAGAACAGCACTTTTGAAGTCAGTTCTGGGAAACACTGGACTCTTGCTGTTCCACACAAAGATGGGGTTCCAGCCAGCGGTGTGCCGGTGCTGGCTTTCGAGAACCAGCTTACAATTTCAGGAATATTTGTGAGCTGATTGTTAAATACAGCCATTATTACAAATTAAATTATGTAAACTTAAAATGAAATCATATGAAAAACAACAAATTCTCAGAATTAATCCCTTCCTAATTATTTTGCTACCTTTGATTATGTTTTGAGGTTGGTATCTGTATGATGGAAATGCTAAATAATGATGTGCTCATGCATATCTTCTCCCATCTTGTCTTGGCCTTCAATGACATCACACTGAAAGCTTGAAACTAGGCATGGTCAGAGTATTTACACCATGGAAATTGGCAAGTGCTACAAATTAGAACCTTTTCCCCTGGACAGCCAGTTGTCAAACATTTGTCAGCACACCCCTGGGCCCGGTACAGAAAATGGTACATAAAATGTTCTCTTCTTGGAGATTTATAATGTACAGCCCGACAGAAATGAACTCCAGTGAACTTTGTGTAACTCAGGATTTTCCATACTTAGACCACAAAAGCATTTTTCTGTGTGACATGTACTGTTTGTGTCCCAAGGAATTAGATTTGGAAAATAACATTTGTAAAGCATCTTACACCAAAAAGGGCTCTCAATAAATGATAGTTAATAATTATTAATAATAGAGCCACAGGTTAGAGGATCTTAAGCTAGAATTGCTAAATATTCCAATTAAAGAATCATAGAAACAGAAAATATTAGGAATATAAGATAATAGTATTTTATGCATATACAATCATACTCTCATAGAAGGTTAGTATGTCCCCAAATTAGAATTCTATTCAGTTAAAAAATATAACTTGGTGCCTGGGAGGTGCCAGACCCCCACTAGTAGTACAGACAGCACAGATCCCATTGAGGCTCTTAGGACCTTGGTTTGCAGCCTCAGAGGCTGGCATGCTGAGGAAATGCGACATTTTTTTTGTTTGTTTTGTTTTTGAGACAGTCTCACTTTGTTGCCCAGGCTGGAGTGCAGTGGTGCAGTCTTGGCTCACTGCAACCTCCACCTCCCAGGTTCAAGCGATTATTCTACTTCAGCCTCCTGAGTAACTGGGATTACAGGCGTGCGCCACCACGCCTGGCTAATTTTTATATTTTTATTAGGAGGTTTCACCATGTTGCCCAGGCTGGTCTTGAACTCCTGACCTCAAGTGATCTGCTCACCTCAGTCTCCCAAAGTGCTGGGATTACAGATGTAAGCCACCATGCCCAGCCTCCATTTTTTCTTTTCTTTTTTTTTTTTTTTTTTGAGACAGGGTCTCACTCTGTTACCCAGGTTGGAGTGTAGTGGCACAGTTTCTGCTCACTGCAACCTCTGCCTCCTGAGCTCAAGCGATTCTTTTGCCTCTGCCCCAGAGTAGTTGGAACCATAGGTGCGTGCCACCAAGCTTGGCTCATTTTTGTACTTCTTTTTCTGTAGAGATGGGGTCTCACTATGTTGCCTAGGCTGTTCTCAAACTCCTGGGCTCAAGCAATTCTCCCGCCTCTGCCTCTCAGAATGCTGGGATTACAGGTGTGAGCCAGTGAGCCCGCCTCACAGCACTTAAGGTCAGATAGAGCAAGGGCTTCATATGAAGGCATCTGGTGAGGACTCTTTAGAAAGGCCGGACTCGACTGGGCACGGTGGCTTATGCCTGTAATTGCAGTACTTTGGGAGTCTGAGGTGGGCGGATCACTTGAGGTCAGGAGATTGAGACCAGCCTGGCCAGCATGGAGAAACCCCATCTTTATTAAAAAAAAAAAAATTAGCTGGGCTTGGTGGGATATGCCTGTAGTCCCAGCTACATGGGAGGCTGAGGCAAGAAGGATCGCTTGAATCTGGGAGACAGAGGTTGCAGTGAGCCAAGATTGTGCCACTGTACTCCAGCCTGGCAACAGAGTGAGACTCTGTCTCTCAAAAAAAAAAAAAAAAAAAAAAAAAAAGGCTGGACTCCTGGAGAGAACTGAGAGAGGCTGGGGTCTCAAGAAAGAAGAAGGAGAGTCCAGAAGGGCATGGCCACATCCCACATCCCATGAGGTCTGGAAAGTGTCCTAAGGGTTTAGCAGCAGTGCAGTCATTGGAGCCCTCAGTGAGAACCGTGACAGGAGTTGGTAGGGTGGGAAGTTAGATGACACAGCCTAGGAAAGAGTCTAGAAGGGGAGGAAGTGGAGACGGGGAGTGAGGATCACCCTCTTGGTTGGGCAGGGTGGGAGAGAGGTGGGAAGCAACAAGCATCTTGGAGCAGGGCCGTGGCATGCAGAGGGCAGGTGGGTTCACGAGGAGGTCATAAGCCCCATGGTCAAGATGCATGATGAACAGCTGAACTAGAGGGAAGAATCCATGCCCCAGCTCTAGAACTGTGGCTTGCGAGGACAGTGGAGACTCAAAGAGAAGGGGGCTGTCTGGGGCCCTGTGTGAGTTGCTCAGGGTGAGGATAAGATGCTGGTCTTCCAACTGGACTCTGAGTGAGTGTGTTAGGACCCACCAGGGCAGGGAGGGTGGAGGGAGGAAGGCAGCTTGGATCTGTGTGATTGGAGTTCTGCATACAATTTCATGTGAATATCCAGTTTCTGTTTTCCTTCCCTTCAATTTTTCTCCCCTAGACTTTATTTTTTAGAACAGTTCCAGATTTACAGAAAAACTGAGAAACTAGGGCAGAGAGTTCCCAGATGCCTGCTCCTCTTTTTCCCGGAGTATGAACACCTTACATGAGCGTAGTGCATTTGTTATAATTAATGGATCATTATGGATGCATAATTATTCGCCAGAGGCCATATTTATGCAGAGTTCCTTAGTTTTTTTTTTTTTTTTTTTTCTACCTAATGTTCCTTTTCTGTTCCAGGATCTCACGCAGGATCCCACATTCCATTGTGTTGTCATGTTTCTTTAAGCTCCTTGTGGCTGTGACAGTTTCTTAGACCTTCATTGGTTTCTGATGACATTGACAGTTTTGGGGAGTATGAGTTGGGTATTTTGCAGGATGCCCCTCTGTTGGAATTTGTCTGATGTTTTTCTGATGATTAGACGAGGGTTATGGGTTTCTGGGAGCTTCCACTCCCCCAGACCTGTTTTCTAAGATCACTGTATTTAAACATAACATCTTCGTGCCAAAAACCCATATTTGTGGGTTCAGAAGGCAGCTGAGGACTCACTCCCATTGTCCATCCGGTCTGTAAACAAAGGCTCCAGGCTCTGACCTTGATAAACAGGGACTTCCTTCCTTCAGATTACATACTCAGGAGCCAAGAGGTGATCCTTGGAGCCCCGTCCTTGCCCTTTCCAGGCATCCTTGTTTCTTCCCCGTGTGAGGACCCCCATGGTTCCTTGGTCTCCCAGCCCCATGCCAGGGGCCAAGTGAATGCTGTTGGCAAATGATGGCAAGTGTTCTTCCTGCTGCTCAAGACCCTTGGGTGAGCCCTTTACAGGTTGCTTTCACTTTCCACGAGCTCTCCCTGACTCACTCCATAGATTTTCTTTGAGGTCAGACATTCTCTTTGGAGGCTGATTCAAGGCACAATTATCCCACTGGGAAGGATGCAGGTGGGTTGACGACATTTTCCTGTATGACGCAGAGCTTACATTTGTGTTCAGAGTCAGGAATGCTGGGTTTTCATAGGGCTGCGTTCTCCTGGGGCTTTGTCCTAGTCTCCTTGTATGACCCTGGGCAAGTGTCTTCCCCTATGAGTGGCCATGCTGGAGGACTTCAAGATCCCAGTTACTGTTGGGAGCCATGGACACTGCCAGCTGGCTGTGGGCAGGGCTCTGAGTGGAGATTCCCCAGCTGGCCCCATTCCCATCCAATTTTGTCAAATGCTGCACAGATATTTCCAAATCTCCCAAATGGGAAAATTTCATGGCAGCCATGGTTGGCCCTGCCCTAAATCCTGAACCCTGAGGCCACAATGGCCTTCTCAGCTTGAGCGTGGGATGACCCTATACCCAGTCCACAGACCAAGGTCTGCTGGAGCATTTCTGGTGCCATGGGCAGACTGGGCCTCCTCATCCAAAGTTCCTCTCCAGCCTGTTTCTCTATAGCCAAAGGGCACTGCCACACCATTTGTGGGGTTCTTTGTCTGACATATGCTGCCCCTCTAGACCAGGATGGGTAAACTGTTTCTGTAAAGGGCAGGTAGCAAATATTTCCAGACTTATGAGTCATATGGTCTGTGTTACCACCACTCAACTTTGCCATTGTAGCATGAAAGTGGCTGTGGGCAATCTATAAATGAATGGATGTGGCTGTGTTCCAATAAAACTATCTGCAAGTCTAGGCAGTGGGCCAGATTGGGCCTGCAGGTGGTAGTTTGCTGATCGCTGCTCTAGATCTCCATCTCCATGAAGGTGGGGACCATGTCTGTCTTAGCCCACTGTTGTTATCTTTCTGGCACTGAGTCCAGTGCTTGGAATTGTCCTTCCGTTCTCCAGTACATTGACATGTTCCTTTTTGCACCTAGCATTTACATTCCAAGAAGCTGACAAAAGTGAGATTTTAATGCACTCAAAATAAACTTTATTCCTCATTGAAAACTCTCAAAGCACACTGTCCATCTACCTGTCACTGTGTGTGAAATTCCACTACTAGGGACCATCATTACCACCATCATAACCACCACATGCCCCTTTACCATTCACTACCACCACCACCACCACCACCTTGTCCTTCCCCATCCTCACCACCATCACCATCACTATTAGTGCCACCATCAACATTTATCCTTCATCACTACCATCACCATTACAACCACCACCTACCTCTTTATCATCACCACCATCACCATCACCACGATCACCACCATCAGAACCACCACCTACCCCCTTATCATTACCACCATCACCATTATTACCACCATCACAAGCACAAGCTACCCCTTTATCATCACCATGATCACCACCATCACAACCATCACCTACCCCTTTATCATCACTACCATCACAGCTAACACCTACCCTTTTATCATCACCATCTCCAGCATCACAGTCACCACCTACCCCTTCATCACCACCACCATCACCAGCATCACCACCATCACCAGCATCACCACCATCACAACCACCACCTACCCCTTCATCATCACCACCATCACCAGCATCACCACCATCACCAGCATCACCACCATCACAACCACCACCTACCCCTTTATCATCACCACCACCACTCCCATCACCCCCACCACCACCTTGCCCTTTCCCATCCTCACCAGAATCATTATTACTATCACCTACTGCTACCATTACCACCACTACTTCCACCACCACCACTTCTACCACTATTGCTAACACCTTCACCCTTATCATCTCCACTCCTACCACTACCACGATATCTATCACCATCTTTGCCACCATCACCATCACCACCACCACTGACACTATGGGCCAGCTGTTGATGGCTTCTCCTGTCCTGGGGCCCCAGCCTTACCTTGCCTACATAATGGGGCAGTGAGTTGTTTTTCTCTTCATCAATGTGCATCTGGTTCCAAATCCAGTCTCTCTTTTGGCGCCTGTGGATGGGCAGCAGGCTGGGAGTGTCCCATTGGGCAGGGTTAGCACCTGCTGCCACTGTTGCTGCTGCTGCTGCCAGCAGGCCCAGGCAGGCACCTGATGTGGCAACTAGCATCATGAGCTTCTGCATCTTTCCAGGAGGAACAGATCTGGGGAAAGAGGAGAGACAACTTCAGGTTATGGTTGCCGTGTCTGGCCAAGCAAGGATGAAAGGAATACTTAGACTCAGGTATTTTGCATGAGAGCAGCTAGATATGATGCTGAAAGCCTGGGGCAAACACAGTCTCTGGGTAATTAACATTATTGTTTCCCCTTTCAGGGAGCAATCATGCTGGAGGATGTGCAAAGGTTTTAGGACAACATGAGTAAACAAGCCCATTTAAGATAAATTTCCCTATGCTTCCTTGTACCTACTCCTTACCCTCTGCCTCAGGGTAGAACAGCTGCCTTCAGCTTATTCTTCCCAGAAGGTAGGCAAAACCTTCTGATCTTTCAAGAAGATTTGCATCCTTTCCCTATAATTTCTCCCACCACTCTGACCTATCTCCCACATATGGATGTGAGCAGCTCCCATAGGGAACTGAACTTCCTTTATCTGTTTACTCCTTCATCCTTCACTGTCTGCAGACACCTGCAGAACCAGATCCCCTTCATGCCTTGATAAACTCTGAATCAGGGAGGGTGAAAACAGATGGAAACCATTTCTATTTGTGAGTCACGTGTGCTAGAACGGAAGTAAGTGCAGGGGATATGGGAGCCCACAGGAGGGCCTGTGGGAAGGTCTCCAGGAAGCGGGTATAAGGCTGACACTGATGGCAGCTCCAAAATCCCCAGGCATTGGGTGCTCAGGTCATCCTCATTGTTCAAACTGGAGTAAGTGGTGGGACTGAGAAGGGAACCTGGGTGTCTGATAGCAAATCTTTATCAAGCACTTATATTTTGCCTGGCACCGTCTGAAGCACTTTACATATGTTATCTCATTTAATCTTCCCCGTTACCCTCCAGGCTGGTGTAATTATAACCCTCATTTTGCAGATGAGGAACAGAGAGGTTTTGGCACATTCCTGAAATTATCTAAACTCTAAAGAGCACATCCGGGATTTGAACCAGGGCTGTCTGGCCCAGAAGTTCAAGTCCTTTCCTCCTGTCTTCCCTTGTCCCAGCAGCTGCTCTGGGACAGGATTTAAAGCCTCTTCTCGACAAACATGCCCCTGCCTGAAAGCCCCTTTATCAACTTTGCGTTGATTCTGTCTTCAGAAGGCTCTCAGGAAAATCCAACTGTCTTAACACTGCGGGCTGGCCCAGCACTCCAGATCTTACAGTGAGTGGTCAGCTTTGCTGTCACAAAAGCATGGGTAGGTGGGGTGGTGAGTTGAGGGTCTGGGTTCATAGGAATGGCTTCATCATTTGTGGGGCCCAGTGCAAAAGAATTTTAAGAAGGAAATGGAACATTAAACCAAGCATGAGGCCCTCTGAAGTGCAAGCCCTGTACGACCTCACAGGTTGCACACTCTGGAAGGCAGGTCTGTGGGGTAGGGTCATGGGTCCCCCAGAGATCAAGGCCTGGCTTCATTCTGAATTCCAGGAACAGGGGTTTTCTCCACTGCCCCATGGGGAGTTCAGGCTGTGACCTTGGCCATTGGCATGTTCTCTCAGCCCTGACTCCGTCTGTCCACCCAGCCTGGGTCCCTGAGTCACTTACCTGAAGCTCCTGGGATGATGTAGAGGAAGAACAGGTGCGTGAGAGAGGGAACCAGGGCTCACATCTGGAGATAGACAAGGATCTACAAGGCGCTGGATGAGATGGCCTCCTCCCTTGACTGTCCCCTGGCTGGCCAGAGGGAGAGGCTGGACTCTGTACATCACATGACGTTTGTAAATTCTAGTAACTCCTCTAGTAACATTTCCTGGCGCCGGGCTGACCTCAGTGAGGGCTGAGGGTGTCTGTGCTGGGCCAGCTGACTTCTGGGCTCGCTGACTTTAGTATTGAGGGCCCCTGCCTTCCAGTTCCTGCCTCTGGCCCTGGAGGAAGTGGACTCCCAGGGTGGGGATAGGTCCCAGAATGCAGGTGCCATGTGCCTGGGGGAGGCCCTGACCTCTCTGGGCCTCAGTTTCCCCAGTCATGAATGGAAGAGACTTGAGGCCCTTCAAGGATGCTCTAGACAGGAGGAAGGCAGTGAGCAAAGGCTTGCAGAAAAAATGAGGTAGGTTGGGAGTCCTGGCCAGGAAGCTGGTCCCTGATTCAGTGGAGGTGGCAGGCATGACCCCTGCCCCAGCCTCACTGGGTCCAGGCCCTGTGGGTCATTTCCTTCTTTGTCCAGAAAGGAAGTGCAAGCTTTGATTCTGTCTTCCTCCCTCAAGTGAGAAGTGACTCACAGATGACAAAGTAAAAGAGACAGAAGTGAAAACAAGAAACAGGGAGAGGGAGTGTTCTCAGGCCTCTGGGCAGGAGAGGGTGAGTGCCCACACTCTGAGCTGATAGGTGCTGGGTGCCTACTGCAGGATGGGCTCCATGCTAGGCAATGGGGGTGCCACAGTGAACGAGACAGATGGGGCCTGCCCTTGGGGAGTGCACAGTAATGGGAACAACAGAAAATTAATAAGTCAATGAGGAAACATATTAGCTGGCAATCAGAGATGTTCAGGGAATTACAATGAGAGGTGCCGCAGAGAGTAGGGGGCAGCTGGCGGAGCCTGTGAGGCCAAGAAGGCCTCTGGGAGCGCTGACATTTCAACGCACATCTGAGTGCTGGTTACAAAAAAAAAAAAAAAAAAAAAAAAAGCTACCGGGTGCGATGGCCCACACCTTTAATCCCAGCACTTTGGGAGGCTGAGGTGGGCAGATTGGTTGAAAGCTGACGTTTCAACCTACACCTGAGTGCCAGCCACAGGACCGCCAGGGGAGGGCGGGGAATTCCAGGCAGAAGCACTGTTGCTGGTCCCTGGGTACCTCCACATCTGAGCCCACCTCTGCAAGCAGCGGTTTGTTTCCTTAAGGAAGCCCACCTCTCTGTAGCAGTCCCTTCATAAAATCTCTTCAATTGGCCCCTCGGGGAAGCTCTGTTTCCTGCTGGGGACCCTATCTCTAATACAGTGAACAGGAATGTGGTTTTCTCTTTCCTGGGGCCTGTTGGGTGGGGTTAGTGATCCCTAGGGCTGACCGCAGCCATCAGTCAAATGGAAATACAGTTGTGTGCTGCAAAATGACTTTCTGGTCAACAATGGACTGATCCACCTGCCTCAGCCTCCCAAAGTGCTGGGATTACAGGTGTGAGCCACTGCACCCGGTAGCTTTTTTTTTTTTTAATGGCAAAACCAGCAATTACTTCTGCACTATCCTAATAGTAAACTAAGGTTAATTTCTTACTGATGAAAGAAAAGTACTTTCAAGTAAATTTAGTGTAGCAAAGTGTACACTGTTTAAGTCTACACTAATGTACAGCGTTCCCCTAAGATTCTAATGAAGCTAAAAATTCCTCTGGCCTAGTGACATCGCAGCCATTGTGACATCATAGCACGAGTCATTACTCGTGTGTTTGGGGTGATGCTGGTGTAGACAAACCAACTTTATAAAAAATGTTACATTAGGTAGTGCAAAAGTAATTGTGTGCTTTATTTATGTCTCTGTTATCATTATTTTCTTTGAGATAGTTTCATTCTTGTCACCCAGGCTGGAGTGCAGTGGTGCAATCTTGGCTCCCTGCAACCTCTGCCTCCCGGGTTCAAGTGATTGTCCTGCCTCAGCCTCCTAAGTAGCTGGGTTTACAGGGGCCTGCCACCACACCTGGCTAATTTTTTTTTTTTTTTGTATTTTTAGTAGAGATGGGGTTTCACCATGTTGGGCAGGCTGGTCTCAAACTCCTGACCTCAGGTGATCCACCTGCCTCAGCCTCCCAAAGTGCTGGGACCACAGGCGTGAGCCACTGCCCCTGGTGGCTTTTTTTTTTTTTTTAATGGCAAAAAACAGCAATTACTTTTGTACTAGCCTAATAGTAAACTAAGGTTGATTTCTTATTGGTGAAAGAAAAATATTTTAAAGTAAATTTAGTATAGCTAAGTGTACAGTGTTTATTAAGTCTACGGTAATGTACAGTAATGTTCAGGCCACTCACCACTCACTTCCTGGCTCACCCAGACCAATTTCTAGTCCTGCAAGCTCCATTCGCGGTTAGTACCCTAGAGAGGTGTACCATTTTTTTTTTTTTTTTTTGAGATTGGGTCTCCCTCTGTCACCCAGGCTGGAGTATGGTGTGAATATAGCTCACTGCAGCCTCAAACTCCTGGGCTCAAGCAATCCTCCCACCTCAGCCCCACGAGGCAGTAGGACCACAGGCATGTGCCACCACATCTGGCTAATTGTTAAATTTTTTTTTGTAGATACGGTTGGGGTGGAGTCTGACTATGTGGCCCAGGCTGGTCTTGAACTCCTGCCTCAAGTGATCCTCTTGTGTTGGCCTTCCAAAGTGCTGGATTACAGGCTCCTTTCTTTTTCATCTTTTGTATGGGATTTTTACTGTACCTTTTCTGTAGATATATTTAGATACATGAATACTTGCTGTCGTGTTAAAATCGGCTACGGCATTCAGTACTGCACCATGCTGCACAGGTATTTAGCCTAACAGCAGTAGAGTGTACCATCTAGCCTAGGTGTGCAGCATAAGTGTGCTCTATGATGTTTGCACAACAACAAAATCACCTGAACTTGCTTCTCAGAACGTATCCCAGTCATTAGATGCACGGCTCTACCCTCACCAGACTTCAGCAAAGCACAGTCCACCAATCACAGGCTGGAACCATGTGGTCCTGAGGGGACACTAACCCCCTCAGTGGGCTTTGCCTGGCCCCACATAACAGAGTGTTCTCTAAAGGTGCAGAAAAGCCCCTTGGATTCTGTTCTGTGTCCAGCAGGGGCCCTGTTGCTAGCCCTGGAGAGAAGTCCCTTGGTGCATATGGGGGCCACCAGCAAGCTTCTGCCTTCTGACAGGGCTGGGACTGGCTCTCACAATTACCCCGCATCACCTGTGTGTCATTTGCTGGGGCAGAGGGAGGTCTGTGTGCTTAGCTCTCCTCAGTCAGCTGTTGGTGAGGGGCCGGACTTGGGGATGGGGCCTTTGGGAGCTGGGGATCACAGAATCCCATTTCCATTCCCACACCAGAGCCGAGAGCACCCTCCCAAGACAGCTGTTTCTCGCCTGGGACAGTGGAGGGGGGCTGACCTCCCTGAGCACTTCCCTGAGGCACATGTTATTTTATTTAAAGCTTTCAACAGCCCTTTGAGGTAGTTGTCTGCATTGCCATTTTGCAGGTAAAGAATTAGGGGTTAGAGAGGTAGGGTGAGTCATCCGAGGTCACATAGCCACGGGAAGCGGAGCCAGGATTTGAACTTAGGCTGTCTTTCCCCTGCAATAGTGCTTTTTGCATCATGCCACCCTCTCTCTATCTCTGTGGTGGCATTCACATGTAATAATAATAAACTATTCTCAGTGCTTGGTTTTCATCCATACTAGCACTTTTAATTTTCACACTAGTTTCAGGATGTAGGACTTACATTTCCACTTCACAGATGAGAAAACTGAGACTCAGAGACAAATAACGCATGAATAGTGGATCTGGAACCCTCACCAGATTGATCTTTTTCTGCATCCTAGGCTCCTTCTCTACTCAATCTCAGAGATACCTGTGGGAGCTTCCCGTCTGAAAATCCACGTTCATTTGTGTCTTTTGCCCTTTACGTTAGAAATTTGGCCAATTAACTTTGGGAGGCCAAGGCGGGCAGATCACTTGAGGTCAGGAGTTTGAGACCAGCCTGGGCAACATGGTGAAACCCTGTCTCTACTAAGAAATACAAAAATTAGCTGGGTGTGGTGGTGCATGCCTGTAGTGTCAGCTACTTTGGAGGCTGAGGCACGATAATCGCTTGAACCCTGGAGATGGGGCTTGCAGTGAGCTGAGATTGTGCCACTGCACTCCAGCCTGGGTGACAGATGACAGAGCAAGACTCCGTCTCAAAAAAAAAAAAAAAAAAAAAAATTTGGCCAACTAAAATGGGGGCTGCAGGGAAGAGTTTTGTTGGACAATTGCTCCTCTTCATTCTGATGCAGAGGAAGCTGGGCCAGTCAGATCTGCTGCGCCACAGCTGAAAACTGAATTTCTCTTGGCTGCCTCCTCTGGAGGTGTGGTCCTAGCCCTTTTTTCATTTTAGCCCATTTCCTTTCAGTAGGTAAGAGTCATGTCTCTTGGTCGTTCTCAGCAGTTTCCAGAGAGACTCAAACTGTTGCCAGGTAGATTTGGGGCACCCTAGACATTCAGAGGGTCTAAGGATTTTGGAAGTGATTTCCATGCTTAGAAATTCCCAGCTGAGCAGCCCAGCAACAGGCCGATTATGGTGGTGAGCAGGGAGGGGCCACGCTTGGCAACTCAGGTGTAGGTGCTGGGCTTGCCGAGGCCAGGTGCCTGCCTGTGTCCCAGGCATCCAGGATGCCTGTCGATGCTGCTGTCACCAGAGCCACATGAGAGGGTTTGGGGACAGTTCCAAATGGAGGAGGGTGGGCCCTCTGAACCCTTTGTGAGTCTGGGGAGTTCTGAAGGACCCAAAATTAGAGGACAGAGTCAGTGGCCTGAATCCGCTGGTGAGTGGGCATGGAGCCCAGGATAAGCAGCAGGGGAGCTTTGGAGAATAGAGGGGATGACCATGCTCAACCACGCCCCCATGGGAGGTTGGGACCTCAGAGGCCTCTGGGGTCCAGGTCTGTCTTTTTCTACCACGGGTAGGGCAACTGGGATCAGAACCCAGACACCTAGGCTAGGCCTTGGGACTCAGGGGTTCTCTGAAGGCTGAGCCACCTGGGCAGCCTGAGAAAAGAACGGGGCTTCTGCGGCTCTTTCTGCTCCTCTCCAGCTGCCTGTCTGGCTCTGCAGGTGCCTGGTGAGCCTCCAGGCGTAGCTCCAGCCCACAGGACATTCACTCTCTGGGAAGCTCCTCACATCACCAGGCTTGGTCACATCCTCCCTGCCTGTGCACTTGCTGTCCTCTTTCCTCTGCCTGGATTTAGGACACAGGTCACCACTTCTCTGAAGCCCTTTCTAGAGTCCTGGGGTTATACAGTCACGCAGCAAACATTTATTGAGCATCTACTATGTGCCAGGTACTTAATTCCATGTGGGAATAAACACGGGCTTCACGGACTTCACTTCCATGGGAGAGAGGGACACCAATCACGTGGTGAAAAATGCAGTTTGAAATTGAGACATGCGCTTTGATGGACATATA